AAAAATAAAAATGTTAAACAATTTGAAGAACATATAAATAAAATACTGCAGCTATTAATTTAAATTCCTCAAGCATAAATTCTAATGTTTAATGATCTAAATTAATTATTTATCCACTGTTGCTCTGACAGAAAAATTGTCGCATTAATCATCAGTCTACATGTCGCTCGCGTTATTTTTATGATTTTATATTTTGGTGCTGGCGCAGGAAACATGAACTTAGTGTGAAAATCCAAAATCCAGCAGGCAATTAAATTCAATGCAACTGAAAGCAGCAACAGCAGCAGCAGCAGAAGCGGCAACTCCCTCTTTTTTTTTGGAGCAAGTGCAGAGCGCATAAATCAAAGAGCAGTGCGACCCACCCGGAGGGGACACGCATCGATTAGGCAAAGTCTCACGCGCCGCCCCATACGAAATCGCCGCCGAGGGGTGTTTATTTTTATCAGCCACAGACGCAGACTCCCAATCCCAATTCGGATGCCACTCCCCACTCCAAAGCCATGCAGGCGCGACATGCTAAATCGTCTGCGCCATATTTAAAGCAGCAGCAAATTAATTTATTTTTTCACGCCGTTTTCTTGGAGTTGCGCATTAATAAGCAATTAAGAGTTTTTAATTGCAGCCAGGCTGCTGCCTTAGGTGTAGCCTTAATAGACTCGCATTGGCTCTATCTTGGGATTTCACTAGTCTGCAGCTAGGCAATGGAATTTCATTATTGATACAATTTCTCTTGGCAGAGTAGCAAACGTAACCTCAGACTTCAGCCTAAGCTCGCTCGATTGCAGTTGCTGTATCGTATTTATGACTCTCAGCTCGTTGGCACTTCAAGCGAACAGCATAAGCCGCTTATCGTTGGGCCGTCTGCTGAGTGAGGGAGAGGGAAAGAGCGGGCGAGAGTTGGACAGAAGGGGAGTGACAGCACCCAAAAGCCGCTTGGCAATTCCTGGTATTGGCCAAGCTCCGGGTACTCGCACAAATTAGCTGCTCTGTGTATGGACTTGCGTATGAAAATGTTACAGTACGCCCACATAAAGCCAGATATAAATAAAGCTTTGTCTGCTCATATCAAAATATGAGACTCGTGTCATTTTTTGCCATACCAAAAAGGCTAAATAAATTGAAAATATATTTGGTACAATGTATAATATAGAAATGTAAAATAAAAATATAAAATTTTAGACTATAGATTTTCTATATTTACCTTCTAGATGTTGCGTGTCTCGCAAGTAAAAGCTGCAAATAGAAGAAACGAAAGTTCCATTAGCAAATGTTTGTATCAATTCAATTAATAATAAGACTTTGATTTGTATGTAGACTCGAGCTGAATAAGCTCGTCGTATTGTGGAAATAGTTTTAGTGCCAAGAAAAGTTGATAAAAGCACAAAAAAAAAAAAGAAAAGATGCCACATTAAGCGGGCTGACGTGCAGGCGGAACGACAAGAGACTCGAATCAGACTTGAGCGAATAGCGTGAGTGGTTGAGTGGGTTGCCGTGGGTGGTTTGAGTGATGGCAGTGCGAGCAATGACAGCAGCCAGACATTGAACACGAAAAAGGAAACTGGAGCGAAGACATTAGCCTGAAATGACAGCAACAAGATGCAAGATAGATACTCAGCTTATGGCTCTGTTTTCCAACTGTACAAGCAAACAACAAATGACAGTCTGTCGTGAAAGTATGCGCTGCCGAGGTGTAGATGAGCCCGAGTTCTGTGCGCTCATTGGAAGCAAGTCTGAAGTTCTCCATAGTTGCAGTTGGTACTTCACATATACATATATGTATATATGTATGTGTGTTTGTAGTATATTGAAAAGCGCTTTTCTGGCCCAAGGACATTCACACACACACACACACACACACACACACCGCACAGTTACTCACGCACTCATTCGACAGCTGTTTAGTTTCGCTAGCTACTCGTCTATGCAATATGCAGAGAAGTTGGCTTGAATTGAGACTTTCATCATGGCCTCTGGCAGTTGCCAGGGCTTTTATTTTCCATCTACACAGGGAGCGAACGAGAGAGAGAGAGAGAGAGGACTCTTAGCCAAATGCCGTTCGTGCCAATGCCTCAGTTTAAATATTTATGTAAGCGCGGAATTTCATGAGAAATATTTCGCAATTGCTGCAACAGCACAAGCGTTTCGCCTTTATTATTATTGAAATAGGCCAGGCCAAAGCGAGCTTATGCTAAGCACTCAAGCAACCCCCCGCATCGCCCACAGCTGGCTGTACCCTGCCAATGAAATGGCAAAGGAGTTGTGTATTATTGTTGTTCAGCTGCTTGGAATTTGCGAGTTTGCTCAGCGCTTATTGGGCAGATGATGGAACCTTTCGTGGCAGCAGCTTTCGTGAATTGAATAAACGTTTAATGTAGATATCATGGCCAACAAATAGTTTTCCAGAATTGCAGCGCAAGTGAACTCAATACACGGCTTCGGCAGCAGTTAAAATTTATGGAACTTATAATGCTTGGCCAATCTCTTGGGCCACTTATTCGGCTTTAATGCGAGCCTGCTCAAGGACCGTGAGTTGGCATTACGAGGCCCAAACAAAAACTCAATTGCGCATGCAATGGCTCAAAGGGCTTAAGTGCGTATAACATTCAATTTGCGTTAATGGCATTAAATAAAGTCACACGCACAGAGACACCCACACACACACAGACACTATCAGCAGCGCCTACAACACATTATGTTACTTGGTTTCACCTTTGAAAACATTTTCATTGGCTGGCCACTTAAAAATAAAAAAAATAAAAAAATAAAAGGTTGCGCTGCCAGACTTAAGCCTCTGCAAAGGGCAGAAAAAAAGGAGAAATAAATACTCAAAAAAAAAAGCACAAGCATCAACGTGCAATGGCTGTTTTTTTGAGATATTCTTAAATCGCATTAAAAATCATTGGCACATGCTGCGAAGGTAAAGTGGCAGGAGGCAGCCGGCAGGAGGCAGAGGGTGTAGGCAAAGCCACAGGCAAAGGCGTGAGCTCTGCTGGGGAGGGTGGTAGGAAAACTACGAAGTACGTAAAATAAACAACAACAGTTTCATTTTCAGTTTAAAGCGGGCAAAAACTTGCCAAAACAACACAAATTCAGCAGCAGGAAAGCCCCCCGCTTGGGGCGTGGCAACAAATCAGGCAAAAAACAGGAAAACGCTTTGCGATAAAGTTGCTGCCGCTGCCGCTGCTGCTGCTGTTGTTGTTGTTGCTGTTGTTGTTGGGTTTTTAGCAAACATATTCGACATGCAATGCACGTACACGGTTCAACACACACACACACACACACACACACACACACACACACACACACACACACAGCGCTGAGCAGGGACCTACACCTGGCTAAAGTTGGCTGTGATAGACGCATTCAATGCGCTTCTTTCTTGTTTCTTCTTTCTTGTTCTTATCTCATATATTGTTGTTTTTGGTTTTATTTTGCTTCTCTTTTTGGTCGTATTCCTGTTTGGCCTGATTCCTTGAGCTTCTGCACACAGTTTGTGTTCGCACTTTGAGCGATTCCTTGGTCTGTGGCATGTTTATCAGAAGTTGAGTAAAAGAAAACCCGAAAAAAGTTGACAGCAAAACGAATACTAAATACCCTAGCGAGCCATTGGCCATAGAGGTAAGATCTTGCAGCTTGACTTCCGTTAAACTAAATATGTATATATATTTATTAAAAACATATCATTTATATAAATGTTGTCTCTTCTAGCTTAGACCTGCCACAGTACCCTGTCTAGGGTATAGTGTCACTTCAGAGCTGAAGCATCTGGCCCCAAAGTCCCCCGAGAAGGCGTCGAAGTGTGGCATACTTTTAGGCAAAGCCTTCGAGCCACATTTTGTGTGTTTTACTTGCATTTTGTTGTGTAAATTACATGCACACACACACACACACACACGCACACATACGACTACATACACTTGCTGCCAAACACAGTCGAATAAAATAAAGCACAAAAACTTGGGCACTTGGAAACTGTTTTGGATCTGTCGAGTCGTTCAGTGTTCGCATTTTGTCTGCTCTCGACCCAGTCTCTCTGCAGTAATAATAATAAAGGGAATTGTTATTGTTTTCTATTAATTTGCTTTTGTTATTTGTGTTGTTTGCTTCCTCTTGCCTTCCTTTCTTTTTTTGTTGCTTGTAGTTGGTCTTAACATCTTGCTGCTGCTACTCCACAATGTCTGCATTTGATTTGATTTGCTTGCTCTTCAGCTTCAGCAAATTGATTTATTTTACAACTGAACTTGAATAGCACTCGAAAACTAGCACAAAAATATTATAAAAAAAAAGAAATAATAATTTGATTTAATTAACATGAAATCACATGCAAATATCAGTTACAAAACTAATCAAATTCCTCGACTAACTTTTGATGAAGACAAATTCGAATTTGATATCCGCCGAGCACTTGAGGCATAGCCGAGGGCAGCAGCTGCCCTTGCTTGAATCATATTTGACATAAAAATGAATAAGTACATGCGGCGAGCCGCATGGCGCCGCTGGGCCATTGACATGTCAATGTTTACAAACTAATATGCCAAAAGTTTGTTCGGGCCACAGACGTGGGTCAACGAACGCTCTACATTGATATTTGGGTATCGTCTGCAGTTTATGGCCCAGAGCAATGGGCCGTGGCACGGGCTAGGCAGTCTGACTTAAAAGTTGGCTCTATAAATAGCACATGGAGTTGCTTGACGCAGCAGCGGCGAGCTCTACTTAAGCTCTCAGATTTTTATAGCCAACTGAATACAAGTAGTGCTTTCTCGAATCCACGTAATCCTCGCATTAAACACAAGCCGGCAAAAGTAAGCCAAGACCAAATGGGCTCATAATAAAAACTAGCTCATCTTATTCACATTCACAGTCACATTCACATTCACAGTCAGATTGAGATTCACATTCACATTCACATTCATATTTTCTATGGCCACTCTTGGCTGTGAGACAACTCGCATATTCGTCTTTCCGTCAAGGACGCGCCGGCAGCTGCCTTCATTGCTAACACTTTGTCGCACATTTGGGGCTTAAAACAGCAGCCACGCCCACCCACACCGCAGCACAGCAGCAGCATCAGAAGTAGCAGCCCATTACAACTACTTAAGGTATGTAAATAACGCGAGCGCTCAAAATAAGCCAAGGCAAATCATAAGCAGCCAGCGAGTAGCTAACCCCATTCTTATTATCAGACCCAACACCTGCATCCGCCGCCCCAGCTACCTCACAGAGCATTAGCATAATCGTTATGGTTATGCGCGACGTGTGCATAATGGCCAAGAGTAGCAGCAGTTGGGCGCGAGCTGCGAGCTGCGATCTGGGAGCTGGGAGAGAGAGAGCTGGGAGCTCTAAACCAGCGACACGCACATACAAACTATGTTAAGTGCGCTGACATTGTGATATATAGTTTTTTCTACCCTCACTGCCGGAGCTTCGACACCAGC